TACTAATACTAATATTAATAACAATAACAATAACAATAATAATAATGATAATAATGATGATAATAATAATGATGATAATAATATTAATAATAATAATGATAATAATAATGATAATAATAATGACAATAATAATGTCAATAATAATAACAATAACAATAATAATATTAATAATAATAATGATAAAAACAATAATGATAATAATAGTACTGATAATAATAAAAACAATAACACTAATGATAACAAAAAATGACAATAATAAAAAATATTATTAATAATAATATGAATAATAATGATAACAATAACAATGATAATAATAATATTAAAAATAATAATGATAATAATAATGATAATAATAGTGATAATAATAATAACAATAACAAAAATAATAATGATAATAATAATATTAATAATAATAGTAATAATAATGACAATAATAATATTAATAATAATAGTAATAATAATGATAATAATAATATTAACAATAATATTAATAATAAAACTACTAACAATAATAATAACAATAACAATAATAATAGTAGTAATAGTAATAGTAGTAATATATACTATAATATATATATACATAATGTACAATAGATATATGTTATATATATACTATACCATATATATATACACACTATACTATATGTATTATGTGTGTTATATAATGTACTATGTATTATGTATTATATATATGATATATGTATATGTAATATGTAATGCTTAATATGTAATATGTAATATGTATATCTATGTCTATATCTATATGTGCTAAAAGGACTCCAACAAACACATCAACACTTTGGAGCTGGCAAAACCCTGCAGACCAGTTGTGGAGCTAGGTCCAGGTTTCGAGCATAAATTCATAGCATAAAAAATAGGCATAGATTGCATAGATCCAAATAGATTCTGAATTCCTAGCAACTTCATTTCCCTTCCAATTCTTCTATGACTTTTGGATACTTTTTGGGCTACAGTATCATCCATTTTCCACAGGACAAAACCATCTGCTGCCCAATATCGCCATCTGTCACCAACGCGACAAATGCCATTCGTGGCCATTCAAATTTTCCCCAGAAAGGGATTATTTACCCTCTGGTAATTTAACATAGCTATTGAAAATGGTGATTTATAGTGGATTTTCCCATTAAAAATGGTGATTTTCCATGGTTATGTTAGTTTACCAGAGGGTATATTCATTTATGATATATCCAAATATATCCATCATCCATGATCCCATTGCATTTACCAATTTTAACCATTCATATCATAAATATGTCCATCATATTCCCACTAACTGTCCCATGAAAACAACCCATTACTAATTCACCCATGACAGAGCCGTTTTTTCTTCCGCATAAACTCTTCTCCCATTTGAAGAGTGACCAACCCCATTCAGTATAGATATATCAAGCATTATTAAGCACCATTAATGGATCTTAATACCATTAATGGATATGAACAGCACCAGATATTTCTGGGTAAATTATAATATTTCACTAGTCTGAATAGTTGGGCCATTTATGATTTCCCTTACTAACAATGATTCCAGTGAGGGAGAACAGTGAGGTTGTTATAATTTACCCAAATATATCTACCACAAATCATACTTACCATACTTACCATACTTACCACACTTACAAGACTTACCATACTTACATACTTATATGAGTATATATGAGTTATAAACCAACGTAGCCAATGTCATCTGGGCAGCAGCATCCAGTGTCTACACCGGTGACCTGCATCAAAGTGACTGTCTCCCCAAGTCACCGGCAGTCGGACATGGGTGAATCCTCTCAGGGTGCTCAACTGAAGGATGTAGTCCCACAGCCCAAAGCACGCATGGATAATGGATCAAAACAGTTACTGGTTGGTGGTATACCTACCCCTCTCAAAAATAGTATTAGTCAGTTGGGATTATGACATTCCCAACTGAATGGAAAAACAACATGTTCCAAACCACCAACCAGGTTATAATTTCCTGATCATATTTTGAGGCCAATTGTGGATGCGAAAAAGTTGCATTCTAGCCTATTTGGTCTTGTCACCCAAAAAATCAATCTGCTTCCATCTGAAAGTAGGGCACGCAAAAATCTATGTAATGGTATATAAGGCTATCATCATTTTCCCTATTGAAATGACATAACATTGGGAAAAATCCAATTGATGAAAATCCACCTATCAACATTATCATCTCTGAAACTTGGCCTTTGAAAAAAAACACATATTTCGAGCACTTCCCAGTCCTTGACTTTTGATCCAGTCAACATGCTCCTTGACCGTCTTTGGGTTTCGGTCATCCTGCTTCATGTCGTAGGTGTTGCCAATGTTGATCCTGATTTAAGGATGCTGGAACCACGGGCATTCCGCAAAACATATGGGTTTGTCTGAAAACCGTGTTTCCCTAAATCCATGGGTTAAATCATTCTCCCAAAAACAGTGGCCAAAATTGGGCTATACCCCATTTCCAGACTATGATTGGGGTCCTTCAGAGATTTTGTCATAGCAGAGCCTCACCTTTGAGACGAAGTGTATGTATATGTATATATATATATATACACACTATATGGATATCCATATATACCAATATTAGCAGGGGGAAGCCATGTTTGTGTGGCGTTTTCACTGAGAATGAGGGCTTGCAGTTGAGAAGTTGAGCACTAGCTGGATGTGAAATTCTAGCCACATCCAGCTAGTGCCAAATATGTATATATATATATATTTATTCCAAGGTTTGGGATTATACTAATATATAATGTATAAAGTTTACATTTTTTATACTATTATTATTATTGTTATTATATATGTATGTATATATTCTAGTAACCATCCCCACCAAAACAAATAGGAAAGTCGAATCCTACCAGAATAGTTGATAAATTGAACCATGATCTTACTGGTGCTAAACGTAGGGAATGGATGGGTTGCTGGGGGTTGCTGGGATTATTATTACTAGTGATTATGGATCATTCCCGAAATTTCCCTGCATTTAGCACCAGTAAGTTTACATTTTTTATATTATTATTATTATTGTTATGATTACTATTGTCATTATATACATATACATATATACATATTATAGTAACCATTATATGAAACCATTCTTTTCATCATTTTTTTCGGGGTTACGATATCTCTACGCCGTTTGAACGAACGCCGCTTAACAGCCGCCACGTTCTGCCCAGCGTCCCGCGGCCCATTGCTTCGATCAGATCTGGGACGTGCCCGCGCCACGGGGGCGGATGTAAACATAGAAAAAACGATGGAAAATCACCATGCTATTAGTGGGAAAATCAACTATAAATGGTGTATATACCAAATATATATATATATATATCATATGTTGGATGTATATCCCACATATATATATAAATGTGTAGATGTATGCAATGGACTGTCATGCACAGAATCAATTGCAGTTGGAAGTTCCAAGGTTTATATGCCATTATATACCATATGTTTACATATAGTGTTTATACAGCTTATATATATATATATGCCATACCATAGTTATTAGTTATATATATGCCATAGTTTATATACCACGTATATTTTATATATACCTTTATATACCACTACTGTTTCTGGTACCGGCATTGATGTTCGGGAAATTCCCAGCCTGTGTTGGTCCTCGTCCCACTTTTGTATATCCGTTGCCCTAGTCCTTAGAGTCCTTACCGTACCTGTTGCTTCCTGGTAACATTTCTGTTGGTTGTCTCCCGCCTTTCATTGGTGAATAAATGTGAATCCAACCCTTTTTTTGACAAATCCCACTTTTGAGCTGATATGATTCTCCTTCTTTGTTCGCCATCAAGAAAACATCTCAACCAATGAGATTTCGCGCAAACCTGGAATGTTGACCACTCAGAAAACAGATTTCAACTTTCTTCACGCTTAGATTTGAAGTCTCTAAATAGAGTTCAGGATTTTCTTGAACTCTGCGAATGTCCCTGTAAACATACCACTGCGAATGTGGAGATCTCACTATTTCTAAAAATCGTTTTCTCAAAGTTTCCCTAGTTTTCCACATCTTTTTGTGGATCGTTTACCCTCTGGTGAACTAACATAGCAATTGAAAATGGCCATTTATAGTGGATTTTCCCATTAAAAATGGTGATTTTCCATTGCTATGTTAGTTCACCAGAGGGTACCCCATTTACCCCAGGCGTAGGGAAGATATGGACAGCTGAGGTGCCATTGCAGCTGGCAGCTTCCACCTACAGAGCTGTGGTTGGAAATTGCAGTGGTTTAATTCATCCGATGGCCCATAAAAAACTGATATGTATATATATATAGATATATACATGCATAAGGTTTTGGCTTTTCAGCGCCCCACGTGTCTGATCTGTCGATTACCTTAGCGGGGCTTCGCCTTTCCCCGCGGGCCATAGCTGTTTCTGGAGCAGCCTCTTGGCCTTTGCTTTTGCTTGTGCTCCACCGGTTCAGAGCAAGCCGGTGCCACCTTTGCTCATCCAGACTGTCTTTTTCGAACGTGCTCTACCTCATCAAGGCACCTGGCTTCCGGATCCTTCGTGGGGCGTGCGCTCGAAATTATTTTCCCTTGAGCCGAAGCGCTCAGGGACGGGTTTTAACTGGTTCTCTGCCTAAACCGGTCCTTTTTGACTTCCACCTGACGCTCGGGCCTTGCATATTGACGGAGTTTGACATTGTCCTCCAGTCGTTTGCGACGTTCCAGGTCAGTGTGTGAAACTACATGGTCAACTTGATTGTCTTTCTCTTTGCGATCTTGCTTGCCTTCAAGGGTGTTTTCTTTGTGGCTACCCCCTTTTTTGCTCCGTGGGAGTGTCAAGGTTCCAACAACGACTCTTGCTACATTTCGTCGACAGCTGCGCAGGAAAAGAGCTTTGGCCAGACGAGCTTGGTTCTTACATCGTCGGGGCATACGACGACTTTCACCTGCCAATCTGAGGCGAATTCTACAAGTTCTCGGTGCTCATCATTCGAGGGACACAGGGCTCCTACGCTCGATTGCTTCCTCAATGGCGACCTCAGATCGAACCCCATGGAAATGCAGAATGTGCAAACAGCTCAGAAAACACAGTGCGCAGTATTGCGTCAACTGCCAGCAACCATGGCAGAATGTGATCGACCACTCCTACATCCACGGTTCGAAGCAGCCGCAGAATCAGGAGTACGGGCACTATCAACAGTCACCATGGCAACAACAGGACTGGCAAACGCATTGGCAGACGTCGAATGCTCGAGGTCGCACACCGTCCCCTCGACAACGACAGAGGCCAAAGAGTGCAAAAGGCAACAAGACTCCAAAGCAGGAGCCACAACAAGGGATGCCACCTGCTCAGCAGATGATGATGCCCACCATGGCACCAGCCTACATGGGAACAATGCCGCAGATGCAGCCAATGTTTCCGAATCCGTCCATGCCATATCCCATGCCCATGATGCCGGGGAATTTACCTCCGCTACCACCACCGCCATCCCAAAACATGGCCAAGATGCCGGCGCCAATGCCGCCGGTTCCAGCCAATGTGGGAGTGCCAACAGCTCCAACCATGCCAACGATGCCGGCACCACCTTTGCCCAAGATGCCTGCTGTGGCGACAGGATCAATGAGCGAGGCAGATGCCGAAGTGCGTGGCTTGATGAGCATGATGCGAGGACGACAGTCCGAACTCCCGGAAGATATGCAGAAGAAAGTCCAGAAAGTCCTGACCAAGTACGGCCAACAAACCTCCACGGATCTCCATGCGGCAGTCACGGCTTTAGACAATGCGAGGCACAACTACGACCAAGCAGTACTCGCCAGAAGCCAGCATCATGCCATGTGGAAAAAGTTCCTGTCCGATGCGGTTCAGCTCTGGCAAACTTATGCTGCCCAATTTATGGAGCAGGAGAAGAAGCTTCAACACGAAGTGAATGTCCACAAGGAAACACTCATCTCCGCAAAGAAGGATTTGGAGAATTCCAAGATGGCCAAGCTGGACTCAGGGGATGTACAAAACATCACATCAGACGAGGAGACCGAGGACCCGGAGATGTCTGCTGCGGCACAGGCCTCGATCAAGATCACGGAGACTATGGAAGGACTGGCGACTTCTCTGCAATCTCTCCATCGGGAAGCGGAAGCAATGGTGGCAGAGGAGGCCCATTCAGCCAAAAGACAACGCACAGGGCAACCCAAAGAAGAAGAAGATCTGCCTATGGAACCCTCTGCTCCTGGGCAGTCTTTTGGCAAGGCTGGTTGAGTATGACTACAAAGTATGCCAACCTGAAGCCCATTGCCAATGACTTCAACATGATCCCAGGTGATGTTGCCGTCCTCAAGTGGTCCCACAGCATTGTCGATGAGCCCAATTTTGTCAGTGAGTATGCGGCCATTGAAAATGCAAGGTCTTTGGCCTTGGACTTGGGATCCTATGACGGACTACATCAAGGCACTATGAGAGCAAGAAGCACATCCACATGGGCACCATCATCACGCAAGAGCTTGGGTTTTGCTCCTGACGTTGACGTTCTGATGGGTCCTATGAATGTCCTCACAATGTACAAGGCCACAGTTCCAGAGTTTTGCATTGGAAGTGGATCCATGCCTTGGAGCGCAGGTTTACTCAGGGGAGGCTCCTACGACATCCGATGGCGTGAAGAATCGTCACCTTCTGACATCTCAACATGGTCTTGTCCCCGTGATGCCACCGAAGCCACGACCAGTGTGTTCCCAGATTCTGGTCCTGCTTCCAATCTTCCGACAACAGGACATGGAGTTCATCATGGTCCTGAAGCACAACCAGCATGGTTCCAAGATATTTTTCAACTTCTTGCACAAGAAGGCACTGTTGAAGATGAAGAAGAGGGTCCAACCATCATGGTCAGCTCCTACTTCATCAACCATCAGACGCATCGTTTCCACGATGAGCCGAGAATTTTGCGTTTTGATATGGAATGGCAAGAGTGGCACAATGACATCAAATTCATTTGGGAAGACTTGGTGGACAACAATGCGCCTTTGGAAGTTGCACTTGTTCGCCCGCAGCCACCAAGCTTCCCCTTCAGAGCCACGATTGCGACAGTCATTGTTCATCAACATATGAGTCCTGAACGGGCAGCATGTCTCATAACAGCTGTGCATACCATGGACCCTACGACAACGTTCCACGACACAGCTCATTCTGTTGAACTACGTCTTTCTCCTGCACGAGTGCTTCAATTGGCCAGCGTGGATCAAATCTGTGCTCAACGAGAACAACAAGGAGTTGGCTCATGCACCATCCAAATTGGACATCACCAACATCCAACTGACACAGATATTGATGTCTATCAAGGGATTGGCATACAAATTCGCATCCCACCCACGCTCACTGACCAAGAAGCAGAACAGAATCTCTGCAGGAGAGTTAGACAACGGAGACTACAAGGAGCAGGTCACTCATGGAACTCACCCACAACGACAGGAGATGACATTACAATTCCTGAAGAAGACCATCCACGGCCTGCATCGTCATCAACTCCGGACAATGCACCTGAAGATGAAGTCTCCTTCATGGGAAAAAGACCAAAGCCATCTCATTCAAGAGCGCCCATTGAAGTGTCCTCAACCTCCTCAACTCCATCATCAACAATGTCGAGCTCTGATTGGAGAAGAACGGTCATCTTTACCATGGACAGCACATCAACATCTGCGATGCTCCCATGGCATGATCAAGACGCTCTTTTTGAGCACTTGGCCATCACTTTGGACACCAGCAAGAATGAGATCCTGAGAGTCATTGCGGTGCTGCAGAGACCCCAGGACTACGTCCAAGTAGATCTCCACTGCTTATTATTGCAGAAACGAACTGAATTTAGACCCACGCCTTTTGTACGCCTGGTCTTGGTTGACAGAGAGTTACATATTGCTCAAGGTGTCCAACCAACGCCCTTCAGACGCTTTGTGGCATGGGTCCCGTACATCACCACACGCTTTGGTCTTTTGCAAGAGCTGGGAATGGGCACGCTATGCCATGATCAGGAACAGCTCTGTCACGTTTGGCGGAACAATCTTGCACTGGATCGACAGTCCAATTTGGACATCCACATCTCCGACGGTGACTACATCAAAATCTTTGCAGGCGAGCTTGAGAACCCGGAGACGTGCTTGTCTGATTTGGAAATTGACATCAATGACACTGAGGGATCACTCCATGATGAGGAAGAATCAGAGGAAAGTGAACTCTTCCAAACAGCCATGTGTCAATTGCAACATGATTGCTCACGTGCTCTTCAAACGTTGAAGCCAGACATGTACAAAACTGCACCTTCTCATGTCACCACGGTCAACCTGCTTGGGGATACACCTTCGAATGGAAGAGCGGATCCACCAGAAAGGCCCTCTCAAGATTTTCATCGTGGTGACCTTGAGCGATTCATCTCCCTTTTTGAACGTGAAGCCCTCATTGAATGTAGTGATGAAGGACTCATTGCCTATGTTGACACATGGTACATACATCACCAGCGTCAAGGACTATGTCGTGATGCACGTCCCATTCGACTTGGTGCAGATCCAAATCAATGGAAGCAAGAAGTGTTAGCACTATGGGAGGACACCATTGATCCAATGATTGCCACTACAATTCATTTGGTCCGACCATCGCCACCGTGTGCCATGACAGAATGTGTTCTTGCTCATTTGATCCTGGAACAATCCCAAAGACCAGAACATGGAGTTGGACTGATCACTGTCTATACGGCCACTGCACGGGGCGACAGCACACAACACGTTGCACATTCCCTGCCGAACATCATGACTGCCCAGATGGTGCTCCGGACAGCAGAGATGCATTTGGTCTGCCAATCACGACTATGCTCTATCACATTGGGAGATTTACCTTTTGCAATGCATGATTGGGAAGAAGTACCACGTGCTGCAGGGCTGGTCATCAAGATCCGGCCACTACTCCTTTTTCAAGCTGACGAGGACCACACAGACTTCATGCAGCGCACTAGCACACGATGGCGACGAGCCCAGTTGCCCAGCGATGGACTCAACTCGTCTTCATCTGTGCATAGATGTACCCAGGGAGATTTCCAATTCAATCCTGCAGCTCCAGCTTTCGACCCGGCAGTGCCAAACATACACATCCTGTCTGAAGAAGTTCAAGAACTACATCAGCACTGGTTGCGTACGGCATTTAGCTGGCAGGGTGAAACGGCTTCTGCATCCATTCAAACATGGTTCGTCGATCACCACAACCAAAATTTTTGGACCTGCGTACAGCCCAGATCAGTACGTTTGTACGAAGATTTTTCCCAGTGGGAAGCCCAAATCCGTCACGCCTGGCGAGATTTCTTGGACCCAGCCTCGCATTCGATCATTCAGGTTGTGACGCCAACTCCGCCAAACAATGATGCAGAGACGGCGGCACATGTGCTTTTGATACAAAGGCCCCATGATGTTTTTGCCACGATCTTGACCACAGTCCTGGATGTGACGCAACCAGCTGGCACCCTCACCATGCAGATTGCAATCACAACACATGAACACATGCATCTACAAAACCTGGTATTTGCTTTGGGACTGGCAGGACGTTGCATCATGACAGGATCACCCATGATTTGCCATGCTTGGTACGGCAATTATTACATTCGAATGGGTGTGGCTTTCCCTGCACGCAATGGACAAAGCATCATTTTACAAATGCAGCCAAGGCCCACCTTTCAGAACCAACAAGGAGGTCATGCGTTGCTGCAGCTTAGGGCTACAAGACTGAGACGTGAGCGCCAAACACATGGGCTGGTGGCTCACACCCATGGGCCACGTCAAGCCAATGACCAAGACCTACCCTGTGAAGAATCTCCTCCAGAAGAGGACCTGGTCGGACAAGGCACGGTCATCGTCTATGTCCATTGGCCTCCAACTTTTCGTTCTGCCTCTCAACTGCCCACATTTGTGGAAGTTGAGGCCCCCGGATATCCAATTGCTGTGCAACGAGAGTTGAGATGCTGGGGATATGAAGGAGAAGCCTATCAATGTGGACAACATGATGCAGTCTATTTCAATCCCAGAGTCTATCATGGCCAACAGATGCATATCTACTGCAATCAAGATGTCACGCAGCCAAATGGAATACATGTGCAACATGGACCTGCTGCGGAAGACGATCTTGTGCACATGAAAGTTCTCAGCAAGAAGGGCTATCGCAAAGCTGTCATTGTGGAGCGCGACATTGTCACTTCATGCATCGTGATGCTTCACTTTCGCAATGTTGAGCCGCAACATGACCCAGGACCACAGATGGATCGGACGCCGACACCATGGCCGCAGAAGCAACCTCTCCAAGTCAACATGACGCTACCTTACTCCACACCAAAGGCTGAACGACCAGAGACTGATTTTCTTCTTGCGTTTGATTGTGATGAGCTCCACAGGTTTTTCACAGCAAAGCCACTGCAGATGATTCAGGACATCACGCCATACGATGTACCAGAATTCATTCAACAGGCTGTACAAAAATGCAAGCCTCTGGATCGACATGATCGCATTGTCATCTATACTGATGGTTCCTCACAGAGTCGAAGGAGACACCAATCCCCCTTGTGGACTGATCTCCATGACGTGAGTGACGCCTGGTGTTTGGCCGTGTTTGCAGAGAAATATGACACGACAGAGACCGTTGAGGAGCCACAACTAGAGTTCATCGGATTGACATGCCAGCAGATCCTCTATGAAGTGGATCGTCCTCATCATGCGGGCACTGACCACATTGGATCAGATGCTGCCGAGACCGAAGCACTTCTGTGGAGTGCACTGTGGAGGCTTGCGCAGAATCACCGCATCCCTACAGTGTTTATCTCTGACTCTCAGCTGGCTGGAGGACAGGCAGCCGGTAGAGTAGGTGCAGCGCATCCTACGGCCCCTTTCCAACACCTCAGAGCGGCCTTCCAAGCTCTTGAAGCCATACTGCCCGAAGATCATCTGCGGATTGCGCATACCCGGAGTCATGCAGGGGAACCTTTCAACGAGCTAGTGGACTTCTTTGCCAAATTGGAAGCCAAAAGCAGCCTTTATCTGCCGCGCCAACAACTTGACCTTCAGACATTTGGCAGTACACTACGCATCCTGTGGATGATCCTCTCCCAAGATCGAGATCTTCCAGATTTATGTGATGGTGGACTTGCTCTACTACCACCGGACCTTCCACCGAACACAACAGAACCGGCTCAGAGATGCTCAAGGTCGACAGCCTCCAAGATTGACATTTCCCTCAGTTTTGCAACTGCGAATGTGCGTACGTTCTACCGAGGCGAAGAGGGTGTCCCAGGGAAATTAAGCTATGTACGAGGACAATTTCGTCAGATGCATCTCCATTTCCTTGGCCTCCAAGAGACGCGCACATCTCCCTGCACTTCTATCACTGAGGAAGTTTTGCGACTTGCTGGAGGAGATTGTCAAGGACAACATGGTGTCGAATTGTGGATTAACCTTGCACAGCCTTATGGATGGTGTCGAGGCAAACCACAATACCTTGCCCGCTCTCATGTTGTGGTGACACATGCTGACCCACGCTACATCATTGTACATGTCCAGAATGATCATCTCGATTTCTGGATTGCAGTGATCTATGCGCCACAGAGTGGCATCCCACTTTCTGAACGTGAAAAATGGTGGCACAACCTCACAACGCTCCTCCATGCGGTTGTTGGAGAATCAGATTTGGTCCTCTTAGCTGATGCCAATGCTGCAAGTGGACGTAATGATGGATGCCATGTCTTTCAAAACGATGACTCAACAACAAGCGGCACGAGCTGCCTGCGAGAACTACTTTCAACACAAAACCTTTGTCTTCCAGCCACCAGCCATTGTCATCAAGGAGAACATGAAACCTGGGTTTGCCCCGCAACAGGGCGAGGCCACCGCATTGACTATGTTGCCATACCAGTGTCATGGTTCCCGTCCTGCACACTGTCAAGAACTATCCCAGACTTAGATCTGGGCAATGCAGGTGACCACACTGCGGTAGGGCTGGAAGTACAATGGAGGTGCTTCACACAGTACACTCCCTCACAGAGACCTTCAACCAGATTCTATGATCGAGGCGATGTCCTTCGTAGCAATCTGCAGGATTTGCTCCTTGACTACAAACCACCGGCGTGGTCCACGGACATTGCCACCCAAGTTGAACATTGCAACAAGCATTTGCAGCACGTTATGAGCAGCTCATGTCCGCAGCGTCAACAGGGCCCGAAGAAGCCTTTCATCACAGATGAGATATGGCAACTTCGAACACAAAAACTTCGTGCTGGCAGGCAACTTCGACAGCTACGCCGTATTCAAGTACGTGAACTGCTGGCCCAAACTTTCATTCTCTGGAAGGGTTCATCGAAGGAGCGACCGGGTGCAGCTTTCCATGTTTCTGTACGATGTGCACAACTGAAACATGGTGTGTATTACCAGCTCACCAATGCTGAACTACGGCAGAGCCTGCGTCGGGCCAGGAAATTGGCATTGCAACAAGCGATTGAGGAGATCCCTGAGGATGCCCATGCAGGCCTCATTCTGCAGACTCTCAAGCCGCTTGTGGGACCAACCAACATCAAGCACAAGCGTGTCTCGCCACTACCGATTGTACATGATGCTGATGGGCGACCATGTCAAACCCCACAGGAGCTCATTGACCGATGGGCCAACTTCTTTGGTGCAATGGAAGGCGGCACGAGGATGGACCAGACCGACCTGTGGAACATTTGGCGGAAGAATCTGGAGAACTTCATGCCCCAGAGCCTTCATCTGCGTCCAGAAGATGTTCCCACTTTGGTGGATTTAGAACGAGCCTACCGCAGGGTATGTGCAGGCAAGGCTATTGGAGCAGACGATGTTCCGCCGGAACTATGTCATGGTCACCCGGCTGCCCTGGCCCGTTTGACCTACACCCAGATGCTCAAACTGGTAGCCCATGGGCAGGAGGCACTCATCCATAAAGGAGGCCTCCTGGTCTCTGCCTGGAAGAAGAAAGGAGCACAACATGACTGCAGCTCCTATCGGTCACTGCTCATTAGCTCCCACGTGGGCAAAACACTTCACAGAGCACTTCGTGAGACGCAATCAAGTATCTATGAACAATTTCTGCAAAAGAGCCAGATTGGTGGACGAAAACGAGTACCAGTTGGCCTTGGAGTTCATCATGTTCGAGCATCTCTTAGACGTGCCAAACAAAACCATGCATCATCAGCTCTAATCTTTCTTGATCTACAAGAAGCATTCTATCGAGTTCTTCGACCTTTAGCAGTAGGCGGCTCCATCAGTGATGACATCCTTGGCCAGATTGCTTGCCGGCTTCATTTGGATCAACATGTATTACATGACCTCCATGACCTCATGAGCCTTCCAGCAGCCACACAGCTAGCAGGTCTTCCCAATCACCTGCAGACAGCCCTTTTGGCCCTCCACACTGACACCCATTTCTGGGTAGCTGGACAGACAGACTGCATACGTACAGCAGTTGGTACACGCCCAGGTGATCCCTTCGCAGACGTGGTGTTCGGGTACATGTTTGCCAGAATTTTGAAGAATGTGGAGGCACAGATGATCGAGGCTGACCTGATAGAAGTTTTCCTTTCAGCGCCCACAGCTGGCCTATTCCCTTCAGCACAAGAACAGGAGGCTCAACTCTATATGGGGCCCACTTGGATGGATGACCTCTGCATCACCCTCTCAGCAGCATCAGCGAATGCGATTGAGTCCAAAGCCGGCATCGCTTGTGGCATTTTACTCGATGTATGCCGCAGCCATGGTGTCACGCCCAATTTACAAAAGGGCAAAAGTGAGATCCTGTTTGCCTTCAGAGGTCGAGGAGCACGTGCCCAAAGACAGAAGTACTTTGGTCCCCACAGTACAGGCAAGATGAATGTCCTGACTGAAGGGACCACGCAAGAGATCTCTGTTGTTGGTCAATACCAGCATTTGGGAGGGATCGTCCACCACAGTGGCGAGACGAGACAGGAGATGCGCAAGAGAATTGCCCAAGGACATGCAGCTTTCAACTTACATCGCAAGACGTTATTTCAAAATCCAAGTCTCTCACAGGCGAAGCGAGGAGAGCTGTTCCAGACTTTGGTGGTCAGTAAAATCACCTATGGTACTGAGTCCTGGACCCTCATGGACAAGGCCAACAAGCACTTCTTTCACAGTGCATACATGCGGCTTTACAGACGTGTTCTGAAGCTTCCGCATGATCAACAGATCACTGATGAAGAGTTGATGACACAACTTCGTTTGCCATCACCCTCGACAGTGCTACGTGTGGCCCGACTGAGATACCTGGCGCTTCTCTACAAGTGTGAAGAGGTCACCCCATGGGCAGTGATCAGAGAAGACACCGCTTGGAAGATCCTCATTGAGAATGATCTCCAATGGCTATGGAGTCTGGTGCGCTCTACCACACGCCTACCTGATCCTCAGGAGTCTTTTGGTGCTTGGGAGAATGTGCTCCGCTACCATCGCACCTATTGGAAGCGAATCCTGCAGAGAGCAGTGCGTTTGGAAATTCTTCATGTGGAAGATCAGCTATTGCTACAACGACTTCATCAAGCAGCTTTTCAGTTTTTGGAGGAGCTTAGCCCCTTCATCTACAGGCCGCAGATTTTTCAGCCGGCTCCAGAACAAGCTGAGGAAGTTTTTGGATGTATGCAATGTTGCAAAAGATTCCGCAGTCATGGTGGAGAAGGCGCACACCTCTGCCGATCCCATGGCATAGTCGCCCCCATTCGCTGGCACTATGCGGACACTACTTGCCCAGCATGTTTAAAGGCCTATCACACCTTTGACAAGCTCCAGCAGCATCTACGACACAACCGAAGCTGCCGACAATTGGTTCAAGGTAACCGACGACATTCAGTTCCGGCACCTGGTATGGGCTCTATTCAGAACCAAGCACTCATCCAGCAACACGATGGACTTGCGCCACCAACACAGGCACAAGGACCTCATGATGAGCGCAGACGTCCGCAAATGGATGAGCTGTATCATTGGGACCTGTATGAGAGCATTGTCACAGCCTGCTTTGATCAACAAGATCATCCTGACCGAGACCTCTTCACCTACCTGCAGGAGAAGATCATGGAGCATGCCATTGGATGGACACAGACGAAGCAGACGCTCTGCTACATCCTGAACAATTTGACCGAGGAGGACGCTATGTTGGCACACCTTGACCTCACCTATTGGCAATTGCTCCTACAGCGTTTGGGAGACTATCGACAGTGGTCCTTCTTGCGAGAAGACATTGCCGAGGAGGCGACCGCCCACAATCTCAAACTTGAGCACTACGAGCAGTGGTGCCAAGAATTGTGCACGCATGATCAGCCTCGGGTGCCACGAGATCACATTCCTCGTGTGCACTTCCAAGAACGAGTGATAGTGCATGCCTACTCAGGTAGGCGTCGCCACGGAGATTTCCAGTGGTTCCTCGAGAAGATCGCAGAGAAAAAGGAGCTGAACCTTCTCTACGTGGTCTCCCTTGATCTGGTGATCGATCCTGAATGGGGCGATATCGGCCGACCAGAGACATATTCCTTCTGGACGCATGCGATTCGCTCCGGCTACGTTCAAGGAGTTCTAGGAGGACCTCCCTGCTGCACATGGTCTGCCGCGCGTGGCAAGGTCGACCACTCAATGATGAGGCAGGGACGAACTGGTCCACGCCCAATCAGATCCGCTCAGGAACTCTGGGGATTTTGGTCACTCTCTCTGAAAGAGAAACGACAAATTCTGGACGGCCATAGACTGTTAGCCTTCAGTCTCCTCTGCATGATCCTTTTAGATCAAGTTGATGGTGCCGGCATTTTGGAGCATCCATCAGAACCAGCAGATCCAGACAGTCCCAGCATATGGAAGCTGCCGCTGATTGACCTGCTCTTGAAGCTCCCGGGCTTTGAAAAGATCGTCTTTGCGCAGGGTCTCTTGGGTGCTGATAGTGCCAAGGGCACTTCGCTCTTGGTGCTCAACTTGCCGGGACTTCCTCTTGAGCTGCGCCGCCATGCAATCAGTGCTGAGTTGCCGCGTGGGCGTTCCATCGGCCTGGATGCACAAGGCAACTTCAAGACCTCAGTCTTGAAGGAATATCCACCGGCCCTGTGTAGCGCTTTGGCTACCAGTTTTGCCGATTTTTTGCATGACAGAAATTTTTCACAGGTGACGGAAAGGCACTCCCTTCCAGCGGACGTCAAAACACGTTTGACGAAGATGGTGAGCCATAACTTTGGCACCTCCATTGGTCCGGACTGTGTAAAGTAAGGAGTGAACCAAATTCCGGTCACCTATCGAATGCAAGAACTGCAAGCTGCCGCGGTGTCACTGCCCCAACAAGCAGCCAGCAAAAAATATACATGCATACATACATGACATGAGATGAGATGAGATGAGATGAGATGACATTACATTGCATACACACACACATACACATATCTATACATTACCTACATACCCTGTTTGACTGGTATGGTATTTCTTCATTGGAAATGAACCAGTTGTAACATGTTTCAACTCCTTCAAGAGCAGCCCCCCAAAACAGACTTTCCTAGATATTCGGCTATGGATTAATCATCCCAGCTATGGCGGACTTTGTAGGCATAGATGTCAAAGCCATGGACACCTCCGATGGCTTCTCCATTTTTTGGGCTGAGCATTCCCGTTTTTCATGGCTCAATGCCTCCACCCCCCTGTTTCAATGTTTTTTTTTTTAAATTTTGATCTTTACTTCCAAGATGTAGAACTTCTCGGATTTGGTGAGTTCATATCCGCATTTTGGCCCAACTTTCATGGGGACGCCTTTTTTTGGGCCCAACTTTCATGGGGACAGCCCTGTGTTTGAGGATCAACACCATAGTTTCAGGTAAATTGTCTGCAACACAATCGATCCCATATAGTTGGTTCTATCCCACATCCCCTATGAGATCTCCCTTATGAAATCCACTTTGGGTACTTATCTTTATATGGTGTATATACCCTGAGGGATGGTTTCCCATAAAACCCCCCCATCTTTGAGGACTTTTGTCTCCTCAAAAAAGGCCCCAAACCCTGAAATCTGCACCTTGGCCTTGGGCCTCACAGCGGAACCGGCTTGGGAACCGTGGAACCGACGGGTGAGACAAAATCACCGGCGTCCCGGAACTTTGATGGAACATTCTTGATAAACCTAGGAAAATGATGGGAAAACTGGGGAAAAACTAGGAAAACCTAGGAAAATGATGGGGAAAAACTAAGAAAATGATGATTTACCTGGTAAACATACCACAAACGATGGACAATTTACTATGCTATTAATGGGTAAATCAACGATTTCTATGGCTATGTGGCTATGTTCAATAGCTATGTTAAATTACCAGAGGGTATTGAATTTTCAAGGGGTTTAGGCAATATTGGAGGGAGAAACTCTTGGATCTCGCTGAACACAACTTTCGTCATATCGGGTGCGATGTCTGATCGTCTCTTTTCCTGCTGAAGTGGACATACATCGGGATATCCCTCATTTTGAAACACACCAAGAAACGGGAGATGAAACTGAAAAACCTATGATAATCTCATGACTCACTGGTTGTATCATGTTGTGTGCCATGATGATCATCATATATCTATATAATGTATATGGCCAACCTATGAAAATCCCATAATCTCATACCATATATCTCTATAACATAAATTAATCTAAATACATATCTATACAATCTCCATGGTTGCCGCTTCGTCCGTTTCATGCTCCAATTCCCTGAGTCAAGGCACTTGTCGAGGTGGCTGGGAACAATATCCTGTGCCGATCCATGGATTCTGGTGGTTTTTCTGCTGGTTAATGTATGATAATATCCATTCATAGTGTAAATAATATATGGTGGTTATGGTGGTTAATGTAACTTAATGTATGATGATATCCGTTCTAATGGTGCTTAATAAATGGTGAAAATCTACTAATTCCATCTAATATCTGGTTGGTGGTTGAGCCCTACCCCTCCGAAAAATATGAAAGTCAGTTGGGATGACTATTCCCAATATACGGGGAAAATAAAAAAACGCTCCAAACTACCAACCAGATAATATTGGTGATAACTATGGTTTATGGACGATATAACTATAGTATTCACGGGGTTTAGAAAGCAACACATATAACTGGGGGGCACCATCCTGTGTATGGTTTATGGGGAGTATGACTACGTAGACTTAATGGGGATATAACCACAGTTGAATTATATCAGTTGGGTTACAACGGCCAGTAGTATATTTATTTGCGTATCGTAAACGATAGTGAAGGTGGAGATAATTGCACCGACTTAGCTATGGTACTGTAAACATCTGTAAACGTGGCCCCCCCACTTTGATATATTGATATGCAAATGGCATAATTCTTCCATGCCTTTACTTTTGCACAAGCCATGACGTATAGGGATGAGAAACCATCGCTTCAACCATATTACCAGTAGTACCCTCTGGTTATGTCAACAGTTTGCTATTGAACATGGCCATAGAAATAGTGAGTTTTCCCATGAATAGCATGGTGATTTTCCATAGTTATGTGAAAGTTTACGAGAGGGTATAAATTTTATAAATCATATCAAAACCATATTGCACTGTTTGGTTGTTCATCCATTCTTACAATTTTGTAGTTTCCAGATATTTCCATTACCATAAATAATGAAAATTTCCAGTTCCATATATTTGGTGAAACAACTATGGTGAGATATTTACAACCAATATTACCATATTTTCCTTATTTCTTATAATCCCACCAATATAGTTAACCAGTATTTTTCCAATATAGTTCACCAACATTTTTCCAATATAGTTCACCAATATTACCATATTGGATTTTTCCATACTTATAAAAAATGTAGTTTTCATATATTTCCAATATAGTTCACCAATCTTTCACCATAAATCCCAGCAATTTTCCGCCATCCGGCCTTCTTTTGCCTGAGCCATCAGGGATTCCCAAAGGGGTTTTATTGGGATGGGAGAAAGCGAACCAAAGGATGTTTTTGAAACGGAACAGCTAGGAAAATCATCTACACATAGTGGGTTCATGGGTTCTCTACATCTTTTTCGTGATAGTTTACAGGCATTTCTTGGAATTTCTCAGGTTTATGAGGCATAAAAAACAAGATCAAGAATGGTGAAAAACCATAGGACTCTTGGAATATGCTGGGGAATATGATAATTGGACTCGGTAAAAACTACCCAAACGGTGGGGTTCAAGAGCCAGTCCGAATCCAGTGTTCACACCACATCATTTGCTGGGATTCGCTGGGACTGGCCAGGAGGTAACTTGACAGGTCAGCCCTTGGAGATTTTTTTGCGAACGATGGTGGGCTACGCATGGTTTCTTGTTGTCTCAAAATGGGCTATGCCTCTGTAGATCTATTCGTTCATATATCTGGGTAAATTATCATATTTCACTCACCTGCATAGTTGGGCCATAAAAGGGGATGGTTTCCCTTATTAACCAAAAATTTACCCAGATATACACACATGATGTATATGTTTATCTATAACAGAATAGGGCGAATTCTGGTGACCAACTGGTGACCAACCCTGGACTTAGGAGAACCATGGAGAACCTCAGTTTTCAGACAATGAAAAAGGTGATACGATTCCAAAGTCTCCACCGTGAATCCACGAATCCACCATTTTTTATTTTGGGCATTCGTGGATTAATGGGGTGTACCCTCTGGTTATGTCAAAATAGCTATTGAAAATGGCCATAGAAATAGTGGATTTTCCCATTAAAAATGGTGGATCTTTCTTATATATTGTTAGTTTACCAGAGGGTAATGATTAATGGTTTTCGATGGTTTTCGTATAGAAAATGTGATCTATGCAGGGTGCGATACCCTCATCTGTGTCCGGAAAAACTGGTCAATGCAGGCCGTGTCGGAAACCAGCAACGGCCGACATACGAAAAGGACATGGAGCGGTTGGAAAACATACGGAGAAATGACTACCCTCTGGTAAACAAACAGTTTGCTATTGAACATGGCCCAGTCGAAATAGTTGATTTACCCATTAATAGCATGGTGGATCTTCCCATGGTTTCTTGTGTGTTTACCATGTCGGGTAGCTACCAGGGTACATCCCGAAGATATCCCAGTTTGTTTGTAGGATTGGCCCAGGGATCTTTTCCGGCCCAGTATTTGCCAAATCTTGCTTTGACACTAAGTGGTAAATGGTAAATAATATGGTAAATGGTGGTAAATGGTGGTTAATGTATGATAATATCCATTCATAGTGCTTAATAAATGGTTAATATCTACTAATTCCATCTAATATCTGGTTGGTGGTTGAGCCCTACCCATCTGAAAAATGATGGAGTTCGTCAATGGGAAGGATGACATCCCATAAAAGAAATATTTGAAACCACCAACCAGTAAAAATAATAGTACAGTGATGTTCTAATCTCACTTACATGTTGGTATAACATGGTATAAGTATAACTGCGTAGCCAAGACTGATCTTAGATAACTACACCATTCTTGTCCATCAATTCTTATCCGAGTATTTTGCTACCCCATGGCAACTAATTCAACAACTAAACTAGCCCGTTGACAAGTCGATTTAGGGACGGTTTCTTGCTTATTTCACATTATTTCACCATGATTGCAAATTTCAGAGATATTCCCAGATATCCTCTGGTAAACTAACATAGCAATTGAAAATGGCCATTTATAGTGGATTTTCCCATTAAAAATGGTGATTTTCCATAGCTATGTTAAATTACCGGAGAGTAATCCATGTTCATTCCACTTTCTTGATCACTAGTTTCATGGATATTCGCCATGAAATATCCCTTCAAAGTTACATTAAATAACTATCAAATGACAATTTCTCAATTAACATTATACATATACATATATATATATACATATATTATATATATATATATCAATTGCGATTGTACATCCATAATTCCCATTAAGAACACATAAAATAATGTTGTAAAGCCAATGATTTTCACCCAAAATCACCATCAAAAAACTGGGTGTAACCAGGGCACTGCATCAGCAGCGACGTATCGCATTGGCCCTCCTTTGGCGAAGGGGGGATACAACGAACTATTTTTGTCCTCACCTTGTAGTTTTTTCTGATTTCATGGGAATCTTCGGGATGAATAGTTTGGTTTTTTTTTCATGGGAATTTTCGGAATGAACTCAGTTTTAGTGGTGACTTTGAAAACAGTGTAAGCATATGTAAGCTATCTAAGCTAATCAAACATGGGGTTAAAGCAGTTAAAACATGGTAATTTGATGGGA